CAGATGACCCGGTACTGTTACAAATCTTCATGAGTAAACTATTGTCTCCCTGAATGAGTTGGGGGGCAAAAGTACCAGCTCACTCACGAACCATCCTTTATATTTTTCTAAAAATAGTTTAACTATCGGGAGTTGATGCAGCTGAATTCGGCTATCACGATATTTTGCGATTTTTCTCCTGTATAGGAGCTGACTACCAAAGAATAGTGCACCAGTAGGTTTAACAGGGGCAGTCTTTCCATATATCGCTAGAATCCAATAGAATAGATTCGGCCGTGCAAGATAGGAATCAAGTTGCAGATTATTCAAAAATACTATCGCTAGAACTCAATAATCTTTAACAACTCTACTACTGATAATGAATATGGAGAAGAATCAGGACAGTTGGGCGGGAATGGTCCTGGGTACTTATACTCCAAAGGACTCTATTCTCTGCTCCAGCTTCCTTACTAAATTCCGGCAGTGCGTTTCATCGGTAATGGAAACACATCAATAAAGAATCATTTTGCTCCGTGGGCTCCATGGAGGCGACGGAGCCCACAGAGCACACGGAGGAATTTTGTCTCCATGGAGCGACCCTATTTGTTTCTCCTCCGCGAGCCAAATATGAAATAAATTCTCTTCTGCGAGCAAATATGAAATACATTCTGCTCCGCGAGCAAATGTGAAATAAATCAAGTCACAACTTGTGACCTCGCCACTACTAGTAGTCCTTTATATGCCGTGAATCGTCGTCTATTACTATATATACAATCTACGCTAACTACATCAACCACCTGTCAACTCCGTGCGCACCTCCGCGCCTACCTCCGCGCCTACCCGCTTACCTAACTCCGCGCCCGACTGCCTGCCCTCCTACCCGCCTAAGTCCGCGCGCACCTCCGCACCTACCTCCGCGCGCTGCTGCCTGCCTGCCCGACTGCCTGCCCGCCCAACTGCCTACCTATCTACCTTTGGTCGATTTAGTCGTTGATTTGGTGTCGAATTAGGCATCGATTTGGGCGTCAAATTGTGCATCGATTTGGGCGTCAGTTAGGGCGTCAATTAGGAGTCTGTAACAGTGTCAGTACAGGCGTCAAAATGCAGAGCTAGGTAAATACGTATCCAGGCATCGAGGTAGATGTCGAGGTAGGCATTGAGGTAGGACCTTCCTTCTGAAGCAATTTGAGGATTCTAATGATTGGGAAACCTCTGGAATCGATGACCTTTTCATGGATGAAAAGGGAGGGCATACCGGAATGGCTTTTGTCTGCTTATCATATCTTAGCCACAGTCGTTATTCCACATTTCCTCCGGAGAGTTCGATTTGCCCATCTTCCCGACTTTTAGAGGAGAAAGCCAATGAAGACAGGAACATCTATGATGATTGTGACAATCCAAGGGATATATTTCTAAAGTATGCGGCAATCTTTTGGCACCGTCATGCAGATGCCGCAGAGCCAACGACAGACCTTTACGCGCCGTATCACTTTGGTACATTTATCTCGACTGATGTCAATGGTACATTATATCTGCGCGTGGCATGATTAACGGTATTGATTAACTCAGATGTCTGCAGTTAGCAGAAGTTGTTCGGAATACCAGCCATCCACAGACATATTCCGCCAGTGATAGACGTCAGGGAATGGATGGTGCCACTTACAAACACGCCCGCCAGTAACAGACGACTGCTGATAAGTAGCGATGTCTGTGTCGAATGGACCGGATCATCATCTGTTATCAACTCAGCAAATCTACCACCAGAATCTATCACTCTTTTCAACTGTGGGTAAACATGTTTCTGCCCATATCACCTTCTGTTGATTACTGTAATGAGATCGTGGGGGGAAGTAGGACGAAGACAAGAAATTATGTCCCCTGCCCTATCTTATAAGTCCATATAGTTGGCTAAGTATGAAGCTGTACACGATACTGGGTAATAAGTGGTTGAACCGGACAACAGGTGAACGGGAGCTTAGCATGGATAGATCAGGGCGTGGTTGAGGTGATGGAGGTGGTAGGAGGTTATTCTATAGATGGTCGTGTTGGGCTGTGATTTATGCGTACCCAGGCGTGGCCTATGGTCCTTTGGCGTGATGGTGTTTACACGTTCTTTCGAATTCAGAAGCCTCTAGGCGCGTGTTTCACCACTTAAGTTTACAGGAAACGACATGCACATGTAGGTGACGGGTAGCTGCTTGGCTGTAGTGTGTGTGCTATGATCAATTAATCAGGGTTGAGGAAATCGATTAGGGGTTCAGCCTTAACTAGATTGAGAAAACTAAACCGTGTCGTGATTTGACTTGTCCCCCCCAGTTAATCTACTTTTAATCGATTTCGGTCGTAATACCCTTTTTCCGAGGGTTCTATGAATAATTCTTCTCCGAACGGATCAACTACCCCTACACACCCAAATCACTAAACCATAGGGTCTACCTGTCACCTTTCTTAAAACTATGTCCAAATGTCTTCTCAAGAACACTTGAAACTGCAAGTCGAGCAAGTTCATAACCGTCACCGTCACTCCGGCTCCGACTCCGGCATCGATTCGGAACATCTACGTGCATGCAGACATGGTGTCGATACCTGGATCGTAGCGGGTTGATTTCACTGACTCGTCAGTGAATTATAATTTACATATTCTTTGCGCTATCATAAATTGCCTTAACATGATATCGAAACCTCTTCTCATAATTCCAAGAGGAGGTTTTAGAAATTAAACCATTTTGACGACAATTAACCCGTACGTAGAACATGTAGTGAGCCAAAACCACTATGGTTCACTGACAAGAGTAATTAAAAGTTTGCCAAATTTCACTAACTCCAGTCAGCCAAAAACTACGATACAGGGGACAGCGCTAGCAGAGAGACCTATTTCCAAAACTCAAAAGTGGGGACCATCAGGGAGGTCAAGGAACAAGGATGTCCGGAATACTGAGTGCTTCGATATGTGATTCTTAAGGTTTAATAATGTATTCTTAACAAATGCTCCAAATTTGATTCTCCTACTCGCACATTGGAACGCCCCATCATCCTCCCATGGACCCAGGTACTGTCAAACTGGAGCAGAAAAGAAGGTAGAATAAGGGAAACAATTTCAAGCTCGCAACCATCCCACCGTTTCGAGAATAATGATACTTTCTTCTAGTTAAGCTTCTCGGAATACCACTTAACACGCTTAACTTGATATGATGGCGCTTCCTGCAGGTACACATGGCAAGGAAAGTGCTTTCCGCCAGCCTGCTGCGCCGCCGTACTGAAGTTCATGGTGAGGTGGCGGTCGTCGGAGACCCTTACACCGCCCACTCGCGTCGTGTAACGTACCAGGTGAACCCCTGCATTTATATATATGATATTGTTAATTATCATAAAAGACTGAGGAGAGGGCAGCACCGATGTACATCATCAGGACTTTAACAAAGACCAAGCAAGTAGCGGTGCCATTCTGGTGTCTCAATACATCGCGGGAAGCTCCCTCGGCACTTGGTTTTGCCGAATCACGAATACCATCGCCTTTCCATTTAATGACAAGAGATATGTTTGATAGAGATGAGGAAAAGTCAGGATTAATAATGATAGATCCCTTAACTTGAGTACGGTTGATTTTCTGGGCTTCGTGTTTGGATGGCGCCCGAAGTCTTAAACCTGGGTCTGCAGGAGGGAATGGGGACAGAGGACAGGGGACGTGGGCAAGGACGACGTCTCAACATGAGGACTAGGTTTCTGTTGCCAAAATAACTAGGTTTAAGCTTTGTCAAATGGCTAAGCTAAGAATCGGCTTAGGATAGTTGTAGAAACGATTAGTTGAGTCCGTGTCCGAACGAAAGAAGGAAAACAAAGTTAGACATCGAAGCTTAGCTATTGAATATTTTTCATTCCCCAACATAAGGATCTAAGATGGGAGAGTTGGAAGAACGTGACCAGCGCCGGACACATGATGGGAGGTTAGCTGACGCGGCTTGCTCGAGAAAAATCAGGAAATGCGGTCTCGAGGGTTCCTCGGTCGCCTCATGTACAGCGAGATCTCGAGAGGGAACATTATTGTAGAAATATGGGAGGAATCCTATTGGCTTGCCCAGTCATAGAAACCCTGTTTTCAGACCCCTGTTTCTACAATATGTTTGTCTCTCGCTGTATGAACTCGAAAAGCTTGCAGCTGAAATAGCAGCCACCCAATGAAAGAAAGCACACACATCTGAAGGTGTTTGGGATAAATGGCTACGTTGCTGTGTATGCATGCATTTTGATCAGATTGCGTGAAGGGGGCATGTTTCTCGCGGAACTGGGAGTAATAATAAAATTTTATCACGCCATAACCTCAGGGTTGCATGCGTTTAAGGGAATAAACAAAAATCAAGAAAAAGGGCGAGCGTTTTTTTCACTTTCTTGACTTTCAATTATAGAGGGCTATATGATGGCCCTTTTATACTACTAAAGAGACAGAGTATGACCACATAATAACATAGATATGACTTAGGTACTATACTGTGTTCCACAGATGAAAGTTTCCCAAAGAATTATCCCCAGGCTCGGACACAATCAATTCAACAGTACGTGCTCAGTGGGTAATCAAGTGTTCTTTCATACAAGGATCTTGAATCTGTATAAACCCTAACCCTACCATGCAACCTTCCCGTTGTAATTGGGGGGAGACTCAGAAGTACCTATATACATGTACTTAGAGTAATGTACAATACATGTAGTCCCCATCGTTCCCGTCCCTATCTAACGAACCGATCCTACTATGTGCCATCCACTCCCCAAGACGACCCCGCTGCATCTCTTGTCTACTGTACATACCCACTCAGGATCATCTCATCACGCTGAATCAAAGCGTATGAATGGTATTTCGTTTCCGTCCACTGGACCGTTCTACACGTCTAGTATCTCTCTCAGCTCTCCCCAAACAGTTCTTTCACTCTCTGTGCAGCAGCAGCAGTCGGGTGCTATCTTCTGCTAGACTCAGAATTCGAACTGTTAAGCCGCTGCTCAATCTCAGCTCCTTTCATCATCCCGCCCCCATGACTCCCTCTCCAACGACAACCATCACCACCATAGATGAACAGCAGGTACCAAGGGATACATACATACCATTGGGCGAGGATGTCGAGGACGTAGAGCAGTATGGCGAGGGCGGGTATTACCCCGTCGACATCGACGACGAGATCCACAACAGGCGATGTCGCATCATTCACAAATTCGGTTTCGGATGCTACTCCACCGTCTGGCTTGCCCGGGACCAGCAGGAGGACGCCTGGTTTCACTCAAGCTCCTCCTAGCAGATACAGCTCGAGATAGCTCGGAGATCCTAATCCTGCGACAGCTGGGTGCCGCCGCCCAGGTCAAAAATCATCCAGGACATCCGTTCGTCTTGGCACTACTCGACGAGTTTGAGGTCCAGGGAGTGAATGGCTGTCATCGCTGTATAGTCACAGAAGCTCTTGGTCCGAGTGTTGCTGCAGTGAAGTACGAATCGGAGGGGAACCGACTGCCGAGACATATCTCGCACATAGTGGCTACGCAGTGTGCCAAAGGGTTGGCATATCTCCATTCTTGCGGCATCGTTCACGGAGGTGCGTATATCACCCGCCGTATCTCAAAGAAGGGGGGGGGGGGGGGTTATCTCGCCAAACTCAGTACAGTAAATCTTGTTCTTGGTCCTACAACTGATTTCAAGAAGTGCGGTATTGCATCTATCAAATATATCCTTCCTTTTTGGACGGGTATGTGTCATTGTGACTGATCTACGCTGACCTCCTCGACCAAATCTTCACAAGGCCAACATTCTCTTCAAAATAGCTGACCTTGACTCCTGGACCGTGAAGCAAGTGTGCGAGTGCTTTGGAGACCCCCGGAAGTACGAAATCAACCGGATCTACGGCCAGTCACCGACTCCCGCTACACGACAGGATGCTGTGCGCCCGCCGAACCCGATCAAATTGATCCAGTATTGCTTGACAGATGCGTGTAGGGTCAGAATCGCAGATTTCGGCGAGGCATTCCTCCCAGCAAGCCGTTGCATACCCAAGGACCTCAATACACCCGTTCCCATGGCCGCGCCCGAGGTTATCTTTAAAGACAATGCAAAGATGGGGGCATCGGTCGAGATCTGGGCGCTGGCTTGTACGTTGTTCGAGATTCTCGGTGACCACAGGCTCTTGGAGTCGCTCATGGCCGACCGCGACGAGGTCTTGATTGAGATGGTGCGGACCTTAGGCAAGCCCCCCGATAGTTGGTGGCGTGATTGGAAAGGGAGGACAAGGTACTTTGAAGAGGATGGGTCGTTTAAGCCTGATTCGGGGGACACGAGCGGGGAACCAAGAACGGTTGACCGAAAGGAACGAGTGGGGGAAATACTGAGAGGAGAAAACGAAGCCACGCAGGAAGAGTTTGGGGAACAGGAGGTTTGGCGTTGGAGGGACTATTGGCGGGCATGTTGAAGTATGAGCCCAAGGACAGAATTCAGGCAGAGCAAGTTGCAAAGGAGCTGTCGGCCATGTTTTCGAAAGGTTCCGAGAATTAAGTTGTGGGGCTGCCTATATTACTACAAATATCAAAAACAAAGTCTGATCTCCCAACACGATTGTAGTGCAAATATTCGAGTGCGAGACATGTCGGCTCCTGGAATATATACCCCCACTCCATCATTTCCTTGTTTGTCTACTCATTTTACTCATTTGCCTGTATGTTGGTGAGAGGCAGCGGAAGAATAGGCAGATATGTATCGTGTACTAGTTTTAAGAGACCTGTCGCCTCGCTCATTAGCTATCCGGTGAATTGAAAATGCCTCCAAATGACTGGTGTGAACTACATAAATGCTTATCAACGACCGCTCATTATCCAACCTGATGCTCAACATATTCGCACCATGATCGACTCTCCACTTCGTTAACTTCTTCCTTTATTTTTATTTGTTCTAATAACATGTGAGACACGTACGTCCCAATCCATGAGGTTAGGATATGTGCGCCAAGAGCTTGAGTCCCGGCTGCGCGGGGTACATATGAGGCTCGGATGCTCGTGGTTGAAATAAGCTTAAATGGAGCGGTGGCGGTCGCTTACCGCAGGATTTGGAGCGTTGCGCCCGGGTGTTAGGAAAGATCCTGGTATGGTGGGTTCGCCCGTTGTGGTCTTAATGTGTAGTTTTAAGATGTGGCGAATATCAAATGATTGATGCGATCGTAAGGTTTGAGGCAGGGAAAAAAGTTAAGAAGCCGTTAACCTCACTGACGGTATTTCAAATCAAAGTGGCAAAGTAGTTATAATAAGAGCTCGTGAAGCGAAGAGTTTGAATAGAGTAAATCAACAATGACAGTGAACGGTACCTCAACCATTCGGCCTGGCAGATCCGCTTTAAGCTCCCGAAGTTTGAATTCTTTGAATACTCTACAAAGAGTAGAATTGCCTGATATTTCCAATGATCCTCCACCTTTGCCCTCTACTAGCTCGCTTGATGCAGCTAACACTCCCCGAGAAATTGAGAGACTTTTTCGAGAGTTTTTGAACTTCACCACTGCTCGGGCTCAGAACCACTTACTACAAGAGCTTGATACAATAACCGACTCAAGCGAGAATGAGAACTCTTTTGCACTACAATCTGTGAGAGTTATCAGTTGCCCCTCAAAACCTACATACAAACAAAATAGAAGAAGGTCTTTTCCGAGAGAGTATAAGCTCAAGGCAATACAGTACTATAAGTGTACAGTTGTAGAAATACAGCCAGAAATTTATCAGGCTATTTCTAAACGGCTTGCCTCTAAAAAACTGGGTATTACTCCGGCAATGTTGAGAGACTGGCTAGCGAAAGAGGCGGAAATACAAGTTGCGGAAAAAGGAAAAAGAGATTTGGGACCGGGAAAATCAGCACAATGGCCTGAGTTAGAATCACGGTTGTTTCGAGATTTTTGTGACTTTCGAGCAAAAGGACAGTCAATAAACCAATTGTGGTTTATAAGAGCTGCAAGACGTTTATTTGCAGAATTATATCCGGATAAAGTGCGGATTTCCTCAGATGGTGAGAAAATCTATGGTTGTAAGTTCTCGGATGGTTGGTTTTCTGGTTTCCGATGTCGTTGGCGAATCGCATATCGAGCAAAGACAAAACAGGCTCAGAAGGCACCGATAGAAGCACAACCAAGCATTATTCGGTGGATGCAATTCAATCGTCGCTGTTCACAACTACGGCTCGGGGAAAGGCAAAGAGACATAGGACGCTACTATCTTTGTAACATTTACAATATGGACCAAACACCTCTACCTTTTGAGTTTCTAGATGGCAAGACATACGACTTCAAAGGAAATAAAACAATATGGGTACGAGCCCTACGCCCTGGCTGGTCAAAACGTCAAGCAACATTAATGATTACTGTTTGTGGAGATGGTGTACCACGATGTTATTCATTGATAATATTCCGTGGTGAATGTGTTGGTGCAAATGTGATAGCTGAACAGCTGCATTACCATCCCCGAGTACGAGTTGAGTTCAATTCCAAAGCCTATAGCAACGAGGATATCACTTTAAAATGGATACACCATGACTTGAAATGGGCGACTGACTTTGATCCCACTGGCAACCTACCTCGTCTTGTTGCTTTGGATGTATTCGCTGGTCAAAAAACACCTAAAGTACTTAAGGCGTTCAAAAGTCTTAACATGACTACCTCCTTCATTCCGGAAGGCTGCACCTCTCTTGTGCAGCCACTCTATACATCTATCAATAAAATTTTGAAAAATCGCATTAGTCAACTGATTGATGAGGAAATGGATCGGAACCCTAACAAATGGGATGATAAAGCATTCAATGTTAGTGATAGACGAATCCTTATTACCCATTGTGTAGGAGAAGCATGGGAGTGGCTGCATCGGGAGCGGAAGGATATGATTGTGAAGGCTTTTCGTCAAGTTGGTCTTACTTTACCAATAGACGGCTCGCAAGACTCTGAAATCAAAATCAAAGATTTACCAGATATTGTGGTTGGAAACTGGCACGAAGGTGGTATTGATTGCAACTTGAACCGGATGGGAAAGACAAGTGATGGAAGTGATATAAATCTGGATGCAGATGAGGCCAACATCTATATGCCAGACATCACTAGAGAGCTTGAACATCTTGCACATTCACCTGAAGACGAGGAGTATATTCTTGAAACAGGACCCACTACTCAAGAAATCTCAAGAGAATGGGCAATCAGAGTGTCAGGGAGAGAGAAGAAAGATCTAGCAAATAGTCAATCTCAGTCCGAAAGGGAACAGGTAGTACGGGCAGCGATGCAATTGGATTTTCTTTGTAGTAATTGATACAATTATTCACGACCCGCTTTTGGTTATATTATAGATAGAAATTGTACCTATATAATTTGAAGACTTGCTATTAGACCAACTTCATACGGGGAATCTAAATCTTCAATCAGATATCACCCGCGAGGCCTGGTTGTTGAGATATCCTGAAATATGGATGGGTCCGTACCCGTTAAAATCAAAAATGAAACCCATCGTTAAAGAACTTAAGGACTTGAGTTAAGACCGCATTTTTGTCTAGATTCCGAATCTGCAATCAGAAATTACCCGCGAGCATTCGTTGTGGAGATATAAGGGCTTTTGTGATTCTTCGAGGTTTGTGTGTTAGCCCTAACCCACAACCAATGAAGCAATGATCACTCGCGCAACATACCAGGATCTTTCCTAACACCCGGGCGCAACGCTCCAAATCCTGCGGTATCTGGTTTGAGGGCGATCGTGAGGCTAGGCTTAACTAGAAGGGAATAGTGTAGGGGTTCCAGGTTCGAATGGCAACGGGTCGCAGTACCTACATCTCACCACTTTGTTGAAGTTCGAGGGTCCTCAAACCACAAAGATTACAAGACCCACAACTTCATAAAGTACACGAACCTGATCGGTCGCAGGCTCTGAGTACCACTATCTATACGACAGTTGAAATTTCTTTGTAGCTGCATCATGGGATATCACTCGCTCCATACTAGATTTTGTACCCGAAGATATAGACCCCCTGCGCTGAAGGGTCTACGCGGAACAAACGTTTCTGTTTAGTACTTGAAATGCTACCTTTCCCTCGTTCAGGGAATGGCGTCTATGCGGAATAGCGTTGGTCCTATGGAATTGTTTGTAGATGCAAGCACGGTTCACCACCGCCACCCTTCTCCGCTCGAGGCCGTAGCTATAGTCTAGGCGTTATTGCCGCTACCCGAGTGGTTCTAATTATAACAAACAAAATGTTTTATCCAGACTATTGCACCCCCCATACCAGCAGTTCCTGCGTACGCCCTCAAGAAAAACCTTCAGCACGACTATCGCCACTACAAAAGACGGAACAGTCCAGTCCACAGGCCAGTCAAAGGCAGAGGAGGAGGAGGGGATTCTCGGTGCACGGGTTTGACAAAAGGGCGGGGGAAATGTTGGAGCTTGCGAAAAGAATCTCTTCACAAGGACGGAGTTCACCTCGGTAGAGCGACACCTCTGTCAAACCCCGCCGTCAACTGAACTCTAACTCTCAGCCATATTATCGTCGGTTTAAATATGATTTATCCGTGCGGGGGGGGGGGCGAATTGGTGAGTTTCCGGAGACCTGCATGGCCGCCGCCCCCTCAGAGCTACAATGTAAGTATAGCCTATCTGGCAGGAACATGAGGGGAAGAAACCAAACTGGAGAGAATTGGGAAAAGCAAGCGGCGCGCGCTTCTACTTCTATGTTTTCTCTCCTAGTTTTCTTGTAGGCTAGTATGGGCAAGTATCTCTGATTAATGGATATACAATTGCGCCCCTCTTGACTGCTTGTAGCAAATCTGCTGTTAGAGAGTTCGAGAGCGCAAACTACCGAAGGGTTTTTTTTTGGCGATTTCTCTCGAGATAGATGTGAAACCTGGCTGGTGCATTGCAAGGGTTTAGTCATACTGGGCCGGTATATGCACCATTCTATGAGTACCAAGTTGAGACAAAATCTTTTCACTCGCAGCCAACTGCCCTACGTATACACATACCAGCTACCAAAGTCGGACAAGATTTGGGGGTAAGAACTTTCGGCTAGGCCAAGAGTCGATTCGCTTCTGTTACTGCCCAAAGTACGAGGTTGTCAGAAACTCAGTAGATATCAGCGACGTAGAGTATCTGCTGCAATGATTTAGCTTGGTATATAGCTGAGATACACTATCCATAATTGCACGTAAAGCCCTAATTTCCACAAGGAAGTATGGATGCGGTATCTTGCTGAAAAGACGAGGGGTAGCCCATACAGACACTTCTGCCTCTTTTGGAGCAGTTCGCGCGAAAAACCTAGTATGTAGCAGCAGAAACAGAAGCAGAGTTAACAGAGAGTGGAGAGAGTCGGGTAATGAAATTGAGTGCATGGTGATACGCAGAAAATGGAGAGGAGACAGGGGTGCGGGAGGAATCGAATCGCGAACTCCCACCACTGGCGACACAACAGACTTGTATAGCTGGTAGACTAATCACCCGAAACAGAGCTTGCGGCAATATTTTTTATGTATTTTATCGAGAAGTACGGTGTTCATTATTATGCAAGCACATCTTGGTGTTGTGATTGTGCTTGACCAGCTGTGGGAGTTCTTCTCTTCAGTTAGTTGGTCAACCCGGCTCCTTACATCTGCAAAAGAGTGTCGTCAACCGTGTATCTCTACGCTGGGTAAAGATGCGTTAGGACCAGTGCCCATCGCGTGTAGCTTCGATCTGAGATTTTGAGGTATGGCTTCCAGGTCGGGTAGGATAGTGTCAGTACTATGATTGAGTCTCTCTGAAATTGGGGTTAGATAGGGCCAGGGTGAACCGTTCGATGAGTAGATTCGACTTGGGTACAATTCATGGCGGGATGAAGTTGGTGGTGGATGTATGGGACTATCCATAGAGAGTCTTACTATAGTTCACTCTCCCCTGCTCTGACGCGAAACACTAAACAGGATGACTAAGATTGGACGAGTGATAATTCATGATCAATAATGACACAATCTCACACTGCAAACCTAAGATTTCATCCCTGTTATTATAGTAAAATTAAAAAAAAAAATCTCTAGTCTCAAACCTATTACTATTGCTTGGTTATAAAAGACTATTCTTATTTACTAAACTTTCTTTGAAGACGACAAGATTTCTTATTGCAAACCACCTTAAATTTACAGGATGAAGTTCCTCCAGCAAGTGTGGCCCTGTACAGGCAGAAAACAACCTAAATCTAACTAATTCATCGCACCACTTCATATTCGAACCACATTCTAAATCCAGAGATTGAACACAAAAGAAAGATCTCCGAAAGATATTGTCAAGTGTGGCCCTGTGGCAGGTCACAGCTCAGATCTAACTAGCCCATCAAAACACCCCATATTCGCACCCAATTCTAAGAAAGACCTCCGCAAAAGATCATTAGTGATACCCTTAGAAACTTGCACCCTCCATCAAACCATAGACTCGTTCCTGGCCCTAGGCCCCATGAAGAAATTGATGATACCAGGCCATCTCAAAAGTGCTGAGATCACACCGCGAGAATGAAGGGAAGCGCACAAAGAAAAGATCAGAGTGACTCCAGTCCACTTTCCAATGAAATGCCAGAGCCTCGAACCTTTGGACCATTGAGAAGACACCGAGTGGGTTGGAGCATCACCTGGAAGTGATAGCAACTCTTTGATGCTACCTAAAATTCTTTGCTCCACCTCTTCCTCCAGACCCTCTCCACCCAGCGCTTCAGTAATCATCCCCAGATCAAGTGTATCCGGATTATAATCGTCATCGATGCCCTCCTCCGGAAACATGTGATGAAAGATTTTGTCGGTAATGTGGTACATACAAAGGGGATTGGATGCGGCAATACAGACAGCCTCGTGAATGTGAGACTTTGTAGTAAATTTAGCGCTGCCCAAGGAAGTCATCTTCGTAGCGTAATAGTTACGGTAACCCTCGAGTTCCTCTGGAGAGTTTTCCCACTTGGTATCGGGAGTGCCGTAGCCGTACATGAGGGGGTCCCAATCGCGTGTAAGCCATGCTGGGTATGAGCAGCATCCGATGCAGTCGGGGGCTGTTTGAACGTTGTCCCAGTCGATGATTGCTGTAAGAGTCCCATCCTCGGATACAAGGAAGTTTTGACCGCTAAAGTCGGGGTGGGTGAGCCCGAATGATTCCTTTCCTTCAATCGGAGAGGAAAGGGGAAGGTTTTCAATCATCATAGCAAGCAGCCTATGCATTCCAACGCCATACGAATCGTCTGGAGCCTCCTGAGAATCATGTAAAGAAGTTATGTACTCCTGGGAGCTATCGAAAGGCCCAATGTGCTTAAAAACAGCACCAGTATCTTCTTGTGTCGCATACTGCTCCATCTCCACACCTTGATCAAGGACATTGATTGGGCCAACTTTGGGCGAAAGAGAGCCCACCTCAAATTCCAGCATTCCAATTTTGTTGAACCTAAACTTCGTGAGCTGCGACATGGCGTCGGCAACGGTGTCCAGGATCTTGTGCCTGCGTTTTTCTAGCGGGGTCGGGCCACACTCATCCCACCAGATCTGACACACGGGAGTTCCTTCGTCGAAAGGCATGATGATGTAGGGTGACGTGATTTCATTTTCGGTGTGGGGGTCAAAGCTAATGACCTCAGGGATCGGGATTGTGGTGTTTTGGCGGATGAACCCCATGGTCATAACTTCCGACTCGAGACGGCGCGCAGTGGTGGAGGATCCCTCCAGGGTTTCTAGGGGAAGTCGCAATATCCACTTGACACCGTCGGAGAAATTCAGGACGTGGATCAAATTGAAGGATCCACAGAGGGGAGGAGAAACCAGAGTGCAGGTGACCTGGTTAGCTGAAGGTGATGCGGACCATCCCTGGTAAATGCGAAGAGCCATGGCAATTATGGATTCAGGCTGAATCCTTTCAAGTAGCGAAGCAAACTTGGCGAGATAATCAACAGATCCAGCGGATGCGTTGGATCCGCAGGATGAAGCACGGGGGGACGCCGGGGCGGCGGGACTTAGTGCAAGGTCGGAACCTGTGGTGGTAACTTCGTTAGCTGGTTGAAAGGAGAAGGGGATTGGAGGGGAAGTAAGATAAAAAACACACCAACTAGAGAGACCGGGGATTGAGCACTAGAAAAGAGAGACGGGGTGTAAATGGCCATGGCAGGTTCTCCATAGCCCACGAGGGGTATACGCTCCTCTGTACACGACGAAGACATTGAGAAGAAATGTGTTTTATCCAGTCCTGCCCTTAGAAATGAAGTATTTATTTATATTTATATTTTTGTATGAGGGGCAGCAGTGGAGCAGGTTGTGAAGAAGCTTGTTGCTAAACCGTTGTGGTGGTTGTGGTTTTCGAGGAAGAGGAGGAGGGGTGCGGATGTGGTGTGGTATTTAAATACTTTATCGCCAAGCTTTGTAGTCCTGGTAAAACAAGAGGGCGGGACGGGAACAGTGCTAATCAATTCTATTTTGTGTTTGAGCGGGGGGTTAATTGGGTGAGGAAGAATACATGTAGATACATGTACAGTACGATGCCAGTCGTGAGGGCCAGGCGCGGCGTCGCAACGCCCCCCGAACAATCATGGGTACCACCAGCACAGCAACCACAATTGATCCTTTGGAGAGCTGAATTTTTGTATAGTTGTTGAATAGTAGATAAATAACAATAATTTGACATTTAATATCTTGTGTACCAACCCGCCGTGAAAGGTTGTGGAAATCTGGTTGCGCGCGCGGCGTTGCGACGCCGCGCCTGACCCTCACGACTGGCATCGTACTGTACATACTTAGCTGTTTACACACACCTTTTTTTAAGTGTATTTTCAGGGTATTTTCTTGCTTATATAACCAATATATATGCCTTTTCCCCGAATTTTGTAATATCTTGGGATCAAGTGAATACAACGCTATAATTTTGGAAAAAGCATCATTAACGTCAGAACGGGTATTTCTATAAGGCTAAGAGGCAGACTGAAAATCTTATTTAGACCTTATGTCTCAAATAAGCCTAAATCTGGGCTGTTTTGGGCATAAGTGTGACCGTCGGCCAGGACTAGCTACGAATAAGTCTTATTTAACACCGTTTGTAGAATTGATATTACCGATTCACTAAGAATTATGTAAATTAATAAGATCTAGTGGGACCTTGGGGGCGCAAAATTAAGGTTCCGTGGGTTAGGATTAGGTACTTAGTAAATATCAAGCCATCTGCGCCAGTTCATCTCTATCACCTCTACCACCTCCGTACCATCATGATCTAACCTCCCCCCACAATCACTATCACGGTTATCATCAAGACGCTAATCAACGAATTGAACAGCGATTAATCCAGCACCAGCGAATCCAGCAGCAGCAGCGAATCCAGCATCAAATACAGCACTAAATACAGCACCAAATTGAGCATCAAATTCAACCAATTGAAGTTAATGGGCAGGAAGGTAGGCGGGTAAGCGGGTAGGCGGGTTGGCGTGGAGATAAGCAGGTAGCCGTAGGTAGGCGTAGGTAGGCATAGCCTGAGGCAGGCAGGCAGGCAGATAGGTAGGTAGGTAGGGGCGGAGGGGGCGGGGAGGGCGCGCGGCCATCGAGGTATATAATGTCAAATTAAGCCTTATAAGGTATCATAAGCCTTTGTATTAATAAAGTTTTAAAAAATGATAGGCTTGTAAGAGCCTGAACGGACGACTAACTCTTATTTGAGACATACTGCTTTTTATAGGCTTACCTTAGCCTGTTTATAGGCTTATAGAAATACCCGTTGTGACGTTAAAGTACATGTAGTTTACCCATGAATAAGACCAACTAATTCCGGTAATTCCGATCCAAATATGAACTCTACCCAATCAAAAAGCTCCAAATCAGAAAAAGTCTAAGTCCAATATCTCACTAATCCATAATAGGGCTTATCTATTCTTTATTTGATAAATTGTGGACTTATATACAGAAAAAGCATCACAAATATATGCGTAGAGACGGGAACGTACATGTAACCGAAAGCTTAAAGTCATGTACACACATGTATCTAACATGTGGTTGCAGTTCGATTGAGTGGGCTTTGTCGAAAGCGACGTACTGTGAAGCGGGTTCCTTCTGCTATCTATTTAACAGAGAACTTGCACACATAAGGATCTACAACCAGGAGTTCGGGTTGGATGCAAAATTAAAAGCTACAGACTCCAGATTAAGGGCTGCTGGTGCCAACAGTGGATGTAAAATCAAAAGCTACAGACCTCAAATTAGAAGCTGCCAGCGCAAACAGTGGATGTAAAATCAAAAGCTACAGACCTCAAATTAAAAGCTGCCAGCGCCAACAGCGGATGCAAAATCAAAATCCACAGACCCCAAGTGAAAAGCTGGGCACTGAATGGGTTCGAATGGTACACATGCTTACTGCATCGAGCACAATTGATGAAATACATAGTAGTAAAACCTACGAGCGCCTGCCTGGGGTACCTTTACATTCAATTTTTGGGACGGGTTTCAATCAGTGAGTAGGACTATTTAAACCCACCTTCCCCCCAACCTCATCAATTATACATCCTCAGAAAAGCACATCCAAACCTGATTGTTCTCAACAACACATAAAATTTACCTCGAAACAAGTAAACACCGAGAACATAGAAATGCAGTCGGCTGATCCCGAACGCACGGCGAAACGCCACCACCACTGGTAACCATCCTGTTATACAATTATTGTAAAGTCTTTCCTCAAGATTGCTGACATCTCCCCCCTCCCCCCCGGGCCCCTCTCAGCCCAACATGCTACAAGACTCTGGATTTCAGCCGATGCGAGAGGAAAGGGCACGTGGACAGGTGCCCAATTCACCCTGACAGCTACCAAAAGCCGGGCTACGAGTGTCCCAGATGCAAAACCGCCCGGCTCATGGCGGAGCGTCTCGAGAAGGAAAAGAAGCTTGACGAGCTCGAAGGCAAGGAACCAGAACAGGAAAAGAAACCCAAGCCGGCGGCCAAGAAATGGGGCAAGTGGTAAGCACAACATCGCCTCACGAGGGGCTAGGAAGAAATGGTGGAAACGTTGAGAGATAGTTACTATGGAAGGGAGGAAAAAACAAGGAAGTTGAGATCATATCAACTTCCTCGCTGCCATTGTTTTATTTGATTTCATGTCCCACGATCTTTCTGTACCTTTCCCTACACCTGAGAAGTTATAATTTTACGAACTTTAACCAGTCATTACCGTTAGCTGCTACTATTCTGTCTTCAGTCTTTTCTCTTAATGTTCGTTTTTATCTTTTCTTAAGCTTTTCTTTTTGTTTTCAGATGCTTTTTCTCTTTTTGATACATCTTTCTGGTATATCTTTATGTTCTTCATCTATATGTTCACTGTGTTCGTATTCGTCTCTATGTTCGCTCTTATACTTTCCTTCTCCTGTACCCCTTCCTCTTCCTCCCCAGAGTTCCCCACCAAAACTACAATAACCAGCCCCTCTTAAAAGCAGCACACGATTACAGAATAACATTCTTCAGGCTCTCAGCTACATCAACCATTAGTATTAGAGCAACTTACAATCATTAGTAAGAGCGCTGAAGATTTGTCGAAGGTGCAATTTTAACGCGTGGTGTTGGGTGATTATGGCTTCCAGATCCCCACGCATTACATCACCAATCCAAAAGAATTTCACTACTACTTTAATCATTTAGCTATAGATACGAAGGTACTTGCTCTATCTGATTCCTGCTAGCTAGTCCCAAACGGATGGACAAAGAACTAGATCTGAGCCCGGCTCGCCAACTGAGCAACTATGCGCTTTACTCCTAAGGCTGTTCGCGGTCCATGCACTCATCATCACGACGATAACCCAAAAGTTAACTTACTAATCCTCTCGTCGAAATGAACCCATTGAGGTACATGCTATGCGTATTCCCGCTAGCTAGCTTTCGAATGGATGAATCAAGGCTGAGACCTCCTCTCATGTGCCTAGTGGTCTATTTGCATTCGCCCAGTGAAGCTTTTGTCATGCTGAGAGAACAGAAACTCGCCCACAGAGGTGGTCATACAAGAGGTCGAAGTTGCCTCTTACAGCGGATATGGTGGGCACTCGAAGCTGGTCAACGGCTAGAAAGGAGGCTTCAGCCTCCTATGTGGCTGGTAGCTGGGGAAAGCTGGTGCAGTATTTGTGCGCATAGTCTTTGGGCTTCATCGGGGTACCTCCACCACTGATAGGTCTGGGAGACCGCTCAGTGGGGTGAGGCATGGCGATGGGTTAAGAGATAAGTGGAAATGTCATCACGATCAAAGGACTTTCTTCTCTCCATGTTTTTGAGATGAACCTAGTATGCCATTATATTACACCGGATGAGGAAATAGGCAAGGGGAAATCGAAGATCACAATCGCTAATCAAAGTAAGAGGAGTAGATTTCGAAACTTGTGACTTTTGAAGGGTTCCAACGTTTACCCCGCCAAAATGCGAGAAGATCTCCCCAATTCTTTATTTTTTCCCCAATCCGTAAGCGGACCCCGAAGGATTCGATTGTGTTGTTATATATATAGAATTAACCCACATAAATAAAGCCACTTCATTTAAGTTCAATGGCTTTCGAAGCGGTGTCGGTCCCGGAATCTGGAGGACTGGTGGGATATAGAGAAAAGGATCAAGACAAAGCTACCGACCATCCACTCTTCTCTTCGTCCGCCTTGAAGGGTAGTAGACTTGGTCTGGAAGATTGTTTGATGTCTGGTGAGCCTAGCCATCACAGTTTTCACCTACAGGCACCCAAAAGCCCGTTTTTACTCCTCATAGCTTCCCTTTTGATCGCCCAACCTCACCCTCCACTTGAAACAGCTGGACGAGAAAAGGAACTGATCTAGGACCTAGCTGCTTTCCAAGACCTAGGTCCAAAATCTTGAGGAAAGAATACTGTCCCCCCTTCTCCCCCTCCTCTGGCGCCAGAAGCCTATCTATCAGACATCGGCTTTCCGTATTGTAAATTGAACTCGAGTTAGTGCAAGCGCTCAGATCATGGGCAAAAGAACCTTTCTGACAGCTAAGATGCCAGCTCCGGTGGAGCCAGCAGTATGCGAGGACCAGCCTGCCTTTCGTCACATTAAAGCCATCCCCATCATCTCTCAATCTACAGAAAATTACCAAATCTAGTAGTGCAATGGTGGACAGGATTTTGAGGTTGCCCAGGAACCGTGGCCCCACAGTTCCCGATTGCGTGACTATGGGTTAAATAGGACACCCCGAGTCCATCGGC